GTCGTCGTCGTCGTCGTCGGAGGAGGAGGAGGAGGAGGAGGAGGAGGTTTGATAGCGATTCCTTTTCCAAGGGGTGCTTTCGCCGAAGGCTCCTTCTAGCGCTGCAGACCTTAGGAAGCATGTAGCAGTTGCACGGGTGTGTGGGGATTCGTTTTCAAATTTTGGGCTTCTGCTTCAGACGTCTTCGCATTTCACGACCAGGCGCTTGAACATGCGGTACAGCTGCAAGGATCGATGGCGGTTCCACTTCAACACTGGGTTCCCGCTTTGGACTCTTGTGCAATCAAAGGCCAAGCTTGAACATACGGTTTGAACATACGGTGCAGCTGCACGCGGACACCTGAACAGACGGTGCAGCTGCACAGACGCATGGAGGTCGGTTCCGCTTCATCGTTTGAGCATTTTCTCGGCGTCCATGGTCAGAAGTGCAGACGTGTGCAAGAGTTACGCGGACGGGGGGTGCCGTTTCTCAGTATTGGGATCTCCTTGGACACCTCGATTAACGGTATGATGCGTTGTTTGCGCATCCTGGGACACCTCGATGAGCAGTATGATCCCCTGCACACATTCGTTTCTTTATCGCGGTCGCAATAGGAATTGCCTATGTCCACGCGAGCCCTCGTTTTCCAAATTCTTTAGATTCTTGCTGTTTCCCGTGTGATTCTTGTGGGACTCCTTTGAGGTTCTTTTGGGGTTCTTTTGATATTCTTTTAGTGTTCCTTAGAGATGTTTGTAAGGGCCCCTTGATGTTCATGTGAGATTCGTGTGAGGCCCCAACAAAGTGCGGCTCTTTTTCGGTGCCTTGCTGTCCGATGCGCCTCCCACTTGGGCGGGCCGACCAAAATGGAGCTCCCCGTGACAGTTATTACCCGGGATTTCATTGTTTGTCATTTTTGATTTACCTTTGATTTCCGATGCGCGTCAGTTTCCCAGTGTTCTAGCAAGGCGGGAACCCATTGGCAAGCGTTCGTGCGCATTGGTTCTTCAGGCTGTCGCCTCACGTTGCCGCCAGCTTCGGGCCCAGGGGGGGGGGGGCAACGTAATTAATTATTCCCCACATGCTTCGTGGGGTTCTGGTTTTCTTCCCTTCGGCGTCTCACCCGCGTCTCCTCCTTCTCCTCCCTCTCCTTCTCCTTTTTTCCCCACGTGCTTCGTGGGGTTCTGGGGGCACTTTCTCGACACCAGAGAGGGTGCGCAGGGGGTGGTCTCTCACCGCGGCGTCTATGCGAGCCAGGGTCGGAGAGCGTGGCAGGCGTGGCACTTTCTCGACACCAGAGAGGGTGCGCAGGGGTGGTCTCTCACCGCGGCGTCTATGCGAGCCAGGGTCGGAGAGCGTGGCAGGCGTGGCACTTTCTCGACACCAGAGAGGGTGCGCAGGGGTGGTCTCTCACCGCGGCGTCTATGCGTGCCAGGGTCGGAGAGCGTGGCAGGCGTGGTACTTTCTCGACACCAGGCGGGGTGCGCAGGGGGTGGTCTCTCACCGCGGCGTCTATGCGTGCCAGGGTCGGAGAGCGTGGCAGGCGTGGCACTTTCTCGACGCCAGAGAGGGTGCGCAGGGGGTGGTTTCTCACCGCGGCGTCTATGCGAGCCAGGGTCGGAGAGCGTGGCAG